CCCCAATCGGGAAGCGCACCGCCGATGGCCACGATGTGGGCGTCGGTGTCCCTAATACATCTAATATTCGTGGCAACTGCCAAATATCTCCATCGCCTGCAAAAAAAGCACCACTGCGCCCCGTAGAAGCTCCGCAAATACGCACCCTGATGACCACACATCAATTTCGGGTCCGTAGTGTCGCTGGCCCAGAAGTAACTCGGGAGCCCGGTACCACCTCGAAACGACTTCGTGAGTCATGGATGCTTCCGTATCCCATGCACGACTTAGTCCAAAGTCGCCGAGGCGTAGTTCCCCCTCCGCAGTCAAGAAACAATTTGAAGGTTTCACATCTCGATGAAGAACACCCTCGCTGTGTATGTACGCTAACGCCAAAAGAAGCATCTTAAATAAAGACTTTGCCTCTAACGCGGGCAGAGGATTGCTGGCAGTTCTCCCCGAGAGGACTGTTGCCAAGTCAGTCTTGCAACGCTCCATCACTAACGCCAAGGAGCAGCCACACGGAACCACCTCATATTTCCGAATAACAAAAGGATGCACCAATCGCAATGCAACGAGTAGTTCCCTCGCTGTGGGGTGCGGAATGCCCTCATCGAGACGTGGAGTTGTGACGAATTTGATTGCGGCTGGCATTCCAGATTCATTAACAACTGCAGCACGAACGACGCCAAAGCGGCCCTCACCAATTGGGGATCCAACAATAAAACGATCCATTTCAAGCGACCACCTCTCTCTTCTTTATTTCTCTTCTCCACCCCTCCCTTCCATTCTACGGCATCGCGAAAATATAAATGGAACACAAAAAATTGACTCCGGTGATGCCAAAATCCCTCCGAACCCAAAGATCATCCTCAATGCCCCTCCCTAATGAGCACATGCATAGAAACTGAAAGAACTCCAATTTATCTCAGAATAATCTTCCGGGCAGCTGGCCGGATCCTGAAATTATCTATGAAAGCCAAACAATTTAGGAAAAAAGGTTCGTTAGTTAATTGCTTCAATGTTTTATTTTCATTCAATATATAGAATTCTGTGGACCACCAGCATGGTCCCTTGCCCTCAGTTAGGATTTACTTATTATTACTTACGAAGTGGCAGACTTTGGGGTCCTCCAACCACAAGACCCCGCCGCGTGGTGGGAATCAAAAGGGGGTGGGTGGGATGGCAAAATAAAAAATAAAAAATAATAGTTTCGTCTGGCAGCTGTCGGCTCCCTGACTCCCTCAATCGCGGTCTCCCAAAAGACAGTGCGATAGAAGAGAAAAAAGCTGTGAAGAGATATCTTCGCTTGTGCGAGATATGAATTTATTTGGGCAGCCAGCCGCCCTCCCAAGCATTCTTTTCACAAAATCCCATGAAAATAAAGAGAAATTATGCGGCCCCTGTAGTGCGCAACAGCCTCCAGTGACGATGCGTCTCTGGTGGAAAAAATAAAATAAAATCAAAAAAGGGTGTGGTGAGTGTGGCACTGCCGATCACAACGGTTCTCTGAAACGAAAGGCATTCACTGTCTAGACCTCGTAGGCACACACATATAAAAATCGTTAAAATACTCCCAATATATTTCACTATAAGCAAAATGCACTTTGTTCCCCAATTATTTCTTTCAATTTCCTTGCCTATCCCATTTCTAAAAGATTTCTGTATTCACTTTGCTCGGATTCTATTTACAAAATCAGTTGTCAACGCAAACTGGTATTCGTGTACCTTTCGGTCCCAGAACGCCACAATCTCTTTTTCATCGTCGCTCAAATTAACGGTATTGACGGGACCACATCTCTGCCAGTTCGTTATCATTGTGCTGTTTTCGTGCTGCACATAAATCATCTCCCACGACAGGTCTCGGGATAATTCCTCCCAACCATTAAAATATGCCGCCAGGCGTTCATTGAACAGACTCACAGTGCTGGGTATGGTGTGGTGCTCACCCGCCGTCGTCATCCGCAGCCCAACCAGCGTCTTCCGCGGCGAATCAACAAAGAAAAGGCCGTCCACCAGCGGAAAGTTTTGGACCGCCGGTATGTACAGCACCCTGTACTCCATCGGAATCCTCTCGACACCGCCCTGCGGTTCCGTTAATCCAACGGTGAGAGTGGGGTACCCTTGATGGTTTAACTTCAGCACTGAGGACCGTGGTTTGGAAGGCGATGGTGGCGGCAGCTCCTTGAGTTCCTTTGCTAATTCAATGACAAACTCCCCATGCATGAATATGCGCAAACCAAATTGTTCCAGAGCGTGGGAAACAAGAACACCACGCGATCTGAATATTAGCAACAAAAAATCCTTCGTAGCCATTTCCTTTGCCAAACGGTCCGCAGTTCGAAACCCGATACGAGCACATATCGATGCGTTCAGAAATATCTCAGCACCTTCAACTGTTATTTCCCGGACAATCTTCACAAGTTTGTGAGACGGATCCTCGGAATACCATTCTTCCTCTCCTCCCAGGGTAAAGTACTTTCCAACATCAGTATCCTTGATTGCTAGCAAGGCATCATTAACAGCACCCAAGCGACTAATATAAATTTTCTTATCAAAGATGTGACGTGGAATCGGCCCCACGTTATCCATGCGTTCTTTGACCTCTTTCCAGTATCCCGCTTGCTCATCTGGTTCCAGACCGCGTTTCATCCAAGCGCACATCGCCTTCACATCCACCTCGTCGGGGCAATTCATGATGATTCGACTGGCTTTTAATTGCTTCTCCCACTCATCATAGTTGTCCAGGTTTGGCGATGACACCACAATCATGCCCCATCCGGTGGAGGGCGCAAAATCTGTGTCGGGCGGTGTTCCTTTCTTTGCCACATCGTAAATAATGTACCCTTTCATCCCACGCTGCCTCAAACCACCCAAAACACTCTTCGATGTTTTGTTACCCATGTATTTTGTCACAGTTTCGGTGGTTTTGTCAAACACGTACATCGTTTCTCCAAAACAGTGGACAACCACTTGGAGTTTCTCCACATCGTAGTGCAGCAGCTGGTAGAGGAGGTACGAACCGGCAGCCATCGACTTCCCGATCCCGGGCGTCCCAATCAACACACGCCGCACGGGTGAAGAATTGAGAGTCAAGTCAGAGTTGCTGAACCACTCGGTTAGATCGTCAAGGACGATCTGCCACACTCGATCCACCTCGCAGTTTATAAAGAAGTCATTACCAGCCCCATACGGCGCATTCAGCGTGTACGGCCATCCCTTGTCCGAGGTGAGCACCATCAGCCTGGGAGGTACTTCACCGGATTCCCGCACAGCGTCATCCTCTTCGAAGGTGTCGCCAACTTTCTTGTAATTCCATGAGTGTTTCGGTTTCCCCTCCTTCGCCTCCATTTCAGTCCCCTCGCCGCCAGGGACTTCCACCACATGATGCCAACTCGCACTGTACACAGACTCGTACAATCCCTCCAGTTTCATCGGTGCAATCGTCGTCGTTGGTTTACTCGCTTCCTGAAGGGCTGCATCCAATGAGTGTTTAGTGAGTTTATGAACAGTTGCTTTGACCTCCGCAGCAGCTTCTGACCACCCAAGTAGATTGTACACACCCTTATCGCGAAGCCTGCGTACAACTTCTTCCAAATCCATTTCATCCCTCACAGTCCCCTCCATCCTCGCATAAGCATCGGATATCTGTATTTCTTTCAATGCTCTCTTATCACGGATATAATTATTGGGGTTCTTGAAAAACTCCTTCAGCAAAACACTCCGATTGGTGGCCACAACGCCCCTGCCGTCCAGTTCCATCGTAAGAAAGTCGTTCAGCTTCATTTCATTGACGCGGACTCTTCCTTTAAACAGTACCTCTTCGATCGTAGTGGAAATGGTAAATTTCATTTCTTGCGTTCCTCTTAGCCTTTCTGTCAGTATCTGAGTGAGGGCTGCGTTTAGTTTTCCCCTTGCAAGAGCAGTGACTGTGTCCTTTCC